TTAGAAATAAGGGCAAAATAGTTTCTGCTGGGTATTGGGGGGGGGAGAGGGAGGGGGCGGAGTGGGTGGTAAGGGAGGGGGTGGGGGCAGGGGGGGGAAATGAACCAAGCCTTGTATGCACATATGAATAATAAAAGAAAAATGAAAATAAATAAATAAAGGATGACTCCACCTATCCTCACCAAAAGACAATATCCCTTAAGACTTAAAACTACAAAGAGACATAAAGATATCATTAAATTCCTTAAGCAGCAGGGACTCCTTTTACCCCACCAAAAAAAAAAAGAAAATGTATCTAAAACTAATTTGTTTTGGGACAGTGAGAGTTCAAAAAGTGAATCACACACACAGAAATATCCTTAAGTAAGGTAGAGAGGAAGACAGAAACTGAAAAGCCTAGAAAGACCAGCAGATTCTCATCCCAGCAAATACTCACTCTATAGCATGTGCTCTTTGGGAGGCAAAGGGATAGATTCCTATCTCTGTATCAATTTTTCTCTTTTTAAAAAAATTTAAAAGCAACCAATTAAATTTAATTAGTTAAAGAAACATATCATAAAGTGCCATTGTGAATGTCTAAAAATATACATTTGCACATACAATTAGCCCTCTGTATTCATGGATTCCAAATCTGTGGATTCAATCAAGCGTAGATGGAAAATATTTTGGGGAAAAATGAGTAGTGAACATGTACACATTTTTTATTGCATTATTCCTTAAACAACACAGTATGACAACTATTTACATAGCATTTACATTGAATTAGGTAATATAAGCAATCTGGAGATGATTTAAAGTATGTGGTAAGATATGCATAGGTTATTTGCAAATATTATGTATTTAATACAAGGGACTTGAGCATCTGTGGATTTTGGTATCCAAGAAGATACTGAAACTAATCTCTTATGGATGCCAATGTTATTTATTTTTAAAACTTTACATAGAAGAAAATCTAGAAGGCTATTTGCCATCATATTAACGCAGGTGGTAAAATGAGAAGAGATTTTCATTTTCTTAATTACAATAAGCAGCATTTTTCAAATGCTCTTCTAATGAACATATATTTCCATAATAAGATTTATTAGAATTGATAAGTAAAATAACATAAACACATGCACAAACACTGCTTTCAGGAACAATATCACTCACATTTTAATTTATAGCAGCAGTTCAACTCTATGAGTTTAGGATTAAGTAAGAAGAACACTATCTAGCTTTACCTCTAGAGCTTTCTGTTGCAGCCGGTCACGCTCTTCTTTTTCTTTGCCAACAAACCACACCTCCCATGGTGTCAGCCTGCTTTCTGGTAAGCACATCTGTTTCCGTTCTTGGCTATCTTCTGATTCAGCTTCACTGCTACAAAAGAGAGAATACTGTAGCACTTATACATGAAATGCTTTTCTTACTAAGTCGAAATCATTTAGCTGTAAAATGAAAACAAAATTTCATAATGCATTTTCAAAATTGTAATTCTTACTAATATATATGCATTAATTATGCATAAGCATTCATATAAAATCATAAAAAGGAAGTCCAATATTTGAATCAGTTTATCCATCAAACTGCCTTCACCTTCTAAAACCGTATTATTTAAGAACTTTTATCTTGAGTTCTTCCTGCCTCAACCTCCGAGTACTAAGATGATAGCTGTGCCCCACCACGCCCACCTTCAATATTCAACTGTGACATCTTGGGGCTGGAGGAGTGGCTCAAGTGGTAAAGCACCTGCTTTGCAAGCATGTAAGCCCTGAGTTCAAACCCTAGTCCCACCCAAAAAAAAAAAAAAAAAAACAAAAAAAACCATGAATTCAACTGTGACATCTTTATTGGCTGTGAAACTCTGCCTGTTATTTTGGGCCTCTGTTGCAGACCATGGATTCCTTAAAGAAAGAAAATATGTCTTGACTAAGGGCCTAGAATCTGAAACATTTGCTAAAAGGAGAAATCAGTCAAATCAGTTTCTTTTTTAAGTAACACCTTAAGTTTCTTGCCTTAACATTTTAAACAAGGTGTTAAAAATGGCTATATATTACAATTCTACCCATAATCAAGAGAAAGTCTTGATAAAGTAGCCATTTATGATCATGGTATCTAAGGCATGACTTCCCTAATAAGAATGATATAACAACCAGAAAATAGCTGAATAGATTAACAGTAGGTCCAAAGTATATTTCAAGACTCCAGGAAAATACTTCTCATTATCTTGTGTGAGGTCAACTTTGAAATTCATTTCAGTCCTGGCCAATCCATTTGAAAGTCAATGTAGTATCTAAGCATGGCCCTATGTACATTGAAAATATCCTGAGGTTTTATCTACCCATCATATGCATCCAACTCCTGTGTCTATCTCAAAAAAGCCTTACCGTCTTATTGGCCACAGTCACATCACTTTCACAGATGCAGGATAGGGAAAGTATATAAAATTCCCCACAGTTCTAGGTTTGCTCTCTTGCTTTACACAGAGGATGTTCGTATCCCCAAACAATGGCTGTACTATGACTCAGGCTGCCCACTCTCCCATCCCATCACCATCAAGCTAAAGGCAAAAGCAGGGAGGAGAAATTAGGACATTTTCTAAATTCTTAACTTTCTAAAAAGAAATGCTAGGTTTTCTGAAGTGATCGAAAATAATCACTGCATCTATCTGTTCTCTATTAGTACCTAACAACCATCTGATGCTACGCACAAGGCCTGACAAATTCTGCATTCTCTTTCCAGTCCCATATTCTTTGATTCATAAGGACTGAAATGTAGTAAGGCAGCCTTAGCATTGGGGTGCTCCTAGTTCATTCAAACTTTTGGGTAGAAAGGTCTAGGTCCTCTCTAACCCCCAACCCCCCACCCCGCAAAAAAAAGCTCCTTTGGTCAGCCTTTTGGCTCTTGGAAACGAATGGGTCTTAGCTGTGGTCTTTCTTTCTTCCTTCCTTTTCTTTCCTTTCTTTCTCTTTCTTTCCTTCCTGCCTTCCCTCCCCCCGTTTCTTCCTTTATTGGTGTGGTACTGGGGTTTGAACATAGGGCTTCTCACTTGCTAGGCAGGTGCTCCAGCCATGAGCCACTCTGCCAACTGAGCTATGGTTTTGATGGCCATTATTTCCTCAGGCTACTAAACTATGTCCACAATGCTTAGTCCTATTATGATCAGAAGGTATTTGCCAAAGCCTTAAAATTTATTTTAAAAATGAGACCCACTCAGCTCTGAAGAAACCCTGCAAAGACCCTAATGAAAAATGAACTCCCAAATCCTTAACACCAGGAGGCTAATCAGAGAATGCTGTTGCTACATGCAGCCTGGACAAGTGGCTTACTTGGTTACTCTTTCTAACCCCAATTCCCATCAATGTACTTACTTTCACTTTTTATCCTTAAAAGGCCATCTTGTAAGCATGTACATGGATCACTTTATATATTCCCATATTCCATTTGCCAATTCTCATTATGAATGCCTAATACTGAAGGAAGTTATCTTGCTACTTACACAAAAAGCATGGATGCTCTGGTCTCAATTTCTTAGATCTCCCGTACTGTCCCATACACAGCTCAACAACCAGAAACATGTAAATACTTCCTGAAGATGACATAAGGAATTTACCCCAGAATGGACCTATATTATTAGGACTATTTTAGAAATATTCCTGCAGGGATAGGCCCTTTGCTCCTTTTTCTATGCACTCAATTATAGGTAAGTGGTACTGGGAAAAAAGAACCTGATGGGTATACTGGAGCACTAGGTTCAGGTCTGCTGCTAATACACTAGGTGTATGCCTTGGGCTTGACTTTTATTTATATTGAGTTTTATCTGCAAAATGAATTGCCTGAGTTGGGCTTTAATTTCATTGCAGTAGAAACCGTGTTTATTGTGTGTATGGTCCCCAGTATCTAAACTAGTATGTGTCAAATAGTAAATGTTTGCTAAATGAATCACTGTAGAAATAAACATATTAAAATAGCTTTAATAATCCCTTCAGTTCTAACGTTATCTGATACAATGATAACTATCCCATTAAAAGTTCTTGCTCAGATCAGACACCTGTCTCTCCAAGCTGAGGTGGCCATTGGAAGCCTCTGTACTTCAACTCTTTATGGTATTAAAAGTGACCTGTTTACTAACACATTTTGGTTGCTAAGGTTATGAACAAGAGTTCTAGAGTCCACAATTTGGCTTTTGAATATTCATAAAACTCCAATAATTGCAGCAGTGTTCCGTGTGTTTTGAGACTATGTTCAATATGTTTTCCTGGATGGTGAGATTGCAGTAATCATCATAATCTCAGATAAAAGGGCCAAGACTCACAGGAAACCTGTGGGAGAATTTGCCCACGACTCGTTTGTGTAGAAGGGGCAGCACCTCGGGCTGCGGTACCTTCTTGGGTTGTTTGGCCAGCAGAAGCTTCTTAGAAAGGTCTAAGGAACCCTGAGAAGGCCCGCCTCGGCCGGGAGCCTCGGGTTTACCTGGTGCACCCCTGTAATCCCATGCCTGCAAGGCTCGCCACCTTGGCCGATGCGTCATGGGCATCGTCGTCCACCGCTTCCCTGTGCTCCCCGTCACCGTCGTCCTCATCGAACGTTAAGCTCTGGTGGCAGAGGGGGGACAACAGCGACAAGGTGGAGTTGCTGCAGCTCAAAGGCGGCGGCGACGAACCCTCAGACTTCGCCTCCACCTTCACGCCCCGCCCCTGGGCGCCCGTCATCAGGACGGAGGATTCTGAGGAGAACCGAGACTCAGGCTCACGGTCGAGGACGAGCCCGGTGCAGAAACCGGGAGAAGCGACCCGCCACCGCCCCACCGACCGCATCGGGCCCGCCAACTTCAAACCGGCCGAACTGCGGCAGTGACGTGCTCTCCCAGCAGGCCCTGCGCGCGCCGGGCCCGGCCAATCCGGGACGGCACAGGCCCCGCGTTGCCATGGCGACGCTTGGACACCGCGAGGTCTTTGTTCTGGCCTGCAGAGCCTGGCTTCCTTCTCCAAGCCCTTCCTCCTTGGCTAAAAGGTGCCTGCGGCGTGAGAGCTTGTTGAAGCCCGGCCTCCCTCCACCTCCGGCTCTCTTCTGACAACTGTGTGTGCTGTGCTGTTGCAGACCATTTGATCCATGAAATATGTTACTGTCACGGAAAAAGCCAAAGCCTTTTAAAGGAAGAGAGACAGAAGCCAAGTCTGCCCTCACCCATATGAATTCAGGATTATAAATTTATCAATAGTGATTTCTTTGAGCACAAGGCCATATTTTATGAGAACTTTATCTGAGTTTGCAAGTGTCTCCAAGAATGGTTTTGGGGGACAATGTTTTGGTATTTCGGTAGCCCCTCATTTGCCTGAGAACTAATTTGTCTACGCCTGTAGAATGTTCTCTTTCAAGCCTGTAGGATGTACTATCCCTCCAGCTTGTAGTATACGATGTGTTAATCTTAAATTCTTCTCTTGAGACGGGGTCTCTCTGTGTAGCCTAGGCTGGCCTGGAACTTGCGATCCTCGTGTCTCAGCCTTCTGAGCCCTGGGATTAGATATATGCCATCACACCTGGAAAATTCTTCATTCTTCTATGGTGAAAAAGAATCATGAAATTAAAATATGCAAATATGCCTTTTATGAGGAAAGAAAAAATTGGAACTTCAGCGGCACTCTTTATTGGGGATGAAGGAAAATGTAGCAAGAGAGGTGACAGACCTGAAGCTGGATGTTTTGTTCCTACTGATAAAGCTGCATGCACTTGTAGATAAAAATAATGGTTTTGCCCAGTTCATAATGTATACTAATTGTAGAAATACCATGAAGTAAAAACTGACTGGCAAAAACAGCACATAAAACTTGTTACTGACCAACAAGTGATACAAAATCTTTGGTGAAATTTAGATCTGCAAAATTTGACACAGGACAATTAGATATGGCAGAAATAATAGCGACCAAAGACAATTCAGGAGGCTGGATATGTAGCTCAATGTAGCACTTGCTTACCATGTGAGAAACCCTAGGTTCAATCCCCAGCACTGAGAAATGAAAAAGATTCCCTGCCCCCAACTACTCAGAGTATTTTGTTAAATTTTTCAGTAAAAACACAATGGAAATGGAATTGGAGCACTATGACTGAGTAGTAAAAATTATCAGTAAGAAGTTCTTTCTTTAACTGAATTACTTAATACTGCCTTACCTTGTTAAAACCTTTCATCAGAACATCTCTAGGATCAGTAACATCAAAATCCTCAGTGCCGCTTTAGTGCTTTGCCATGAGGGAGGCTTGAAAAACAATTTCTGCATAGGCATAACCTAACTGTAGTGGGAAGAAACAGGTTTAGTAGACAAGGACCTGGATTTAAATCAGTGGTTTTCCTTTTAATATCCCTAAATAAGCTGTTTAGTCATGACAGTTCTAATTTATTCCTCTGTAAAATAGGGAAATAATCTACCTCACAGTCATATTATCTCATTAATCTTCAGAGCTTCTATTCTAGGACCGAAACGATACATTGTAAACTGCCACTTAACCTCTTAAACCTTTCAGTGTGGGAATCTAAAGTTTAACATGCTTCCCTTCCTCAAGATGTTTTACTAAACAAACTATGTCCTTTCCTTTACACATCAAGGTCATCATTATGACCAGCAATTACATTATGCCTTAGCAATACTAGAGCCCCCAAAACTACAAGGCAGTGATCTGGTGCTGATGTTTGAACATAATCAAATCTTGTGGTCTCTACTGCCTTTCTGTGCCTTTTCATTCCTGGGGCCGAGAAGCCATAATCAAGATGGGCAGAATGAATACAACTGTACAAATTAGCTCAAGAGAGGGTCTCTCCCCCTAACTTACAGGGTATTGACTTGGTAATGTCTTTTCTTACTACTCATTTATTTTCACTTTCATGTTATACTTGAAATAATTATTTTTGCTGTTTCTGAAATCTGTAAGTGAAGAGTGATCTTGTTTAAAAGCTTGTGTTTTTCTGACTTTGTTACAAAAATGCCACTCCATTAGCCCTGTATGCAATACATTATACAGCTTCAAAAAAATTATCTGTGGGTATACTGAAATATTTACAGATGACATAAGTATATCTTAGCTTGCCTCAAAATAACCTAAGAGGTACAAGAGGTTAGTGAACAAGGTGAAGGTCGGCTAAGTGCTGTGGATAATTGCCAAATTGTGGATAAGAATGGGATGAGGAGCTGGGTACCAGTGGCTCATGCCCATAATCCTAGCTACTCGGGAGGCAGAGATCACAAGGATTGAGGTTTGAAGCCAGCTCCAGACAAACAGTTCTCAAAACCCTATCTCAAAAATACCTAACACAAAAAAGGGCTGGTGGAGTGGCTCAAGTGGTAGAGTGGCAAGAGTGAGGTCCTGAGTTCAAACCCCAGTACCTCCAAGAATGGTATGAAGGGTAGAGAGAAGAGGTAATAGAAATTTTAAACTTTTGAAGTTTAACACACACACATATACACACAACAAAAAAAAAACCTATGTACAGAACTAAGAGGAATTAGGTTCTGGTTGGAGTCTTAGGTGGTTCAAAGATTCTCATAAATTTGGTATGGTTCAGGGATTCACTTAAATTTCATTAAACCAATTGTTTTCTCACTTGTAAAATGAGGGTTTGAAGACTGTGAATCTAGGCAATTGATTACATTTAATATCTTGCAGGTTTTCAAATCATTTGCTTTTAAATAAAGATCTAGTTGATAGGATTCTCTTAATCTTCACAGTTTGTTTCCATGATATGGTTCAGATTTATATAGGCTAAAACTTCTAAGTTTCATCCAAGTGTTCTTAAACATTTAGAAATGATTATCAAAACAGTGTTTACTAATAGTTATTTCCAATATTTCTCCTAATACTCCATACTTAAAGTTTTTAACAAACCTACATAACACTGAGTAAATTTATTAAATGCTTAAATATAAATTAAGCCAAAATAGATTGCTTTCTAGAAACTTTAATATTGAAAACATTGAATACAATATTATAATTGTCACATATTTTTTATATCTGCTATTCTATTTTTTAAATGAAGTTCAATAGCTTGAATTTTAGGAAAAATATTTAATTAGGATTTTCTTACCAAGTTATGATTTAATATTTATCAGATGTGTAAATATACAAACATAGCATTTTTTTAAACTTGTAAATAGTTGACCTTAAAAAATTACACACTGTAAATAAATCCCTCCCGCATTTTATACAAACTACATGATTTTGATATACAAAGATTCTGTTTTTATTACACTGACAATGTACAACCAAGACTATTTACAATGCCAAAAAAAGTATATAAACCACAATTTAACATTCTGCTACTGGCAGCCACTATAGTTTAGGAGGTAGCTTTAATTAAACAAAATGAACAGAAGCCTTATTTCCCAACTTGTGTTCTAAAAATAATTTACATAAGATAAAAATTCATTATATGCACAGTATGTACAGTTTAATTGTTAAACTGCAATCTAGCTTAATTCTTTTGAATATCCAGAATAACTAAACATGGCAGTGGGTTTGCTATTGATTCAACATTATTCAAAATACATGTTGAGCACTTGTAACTTTAAGACTTCACATGTCAGAGGCCCAAAGATGAGAATCAAGTAAAATTTTTAATTTTTAAAGACATAGGACTAAGCTTCATTCCTTTTCTCCCCTCCCCTTAATGACATACTTGTCTTGTCTAACCAGGCTCAACATCTGAGCTATTGAACATGCAACCTTCTGATCTGGAGTCAGATGTGCTACCATTGCACCACGAGGCCTGCTCAACATCTGAGCTATTGAATAGCTTTTTATAACTCATAATTTGGGAAAATCGTATTGAAGCTTCCATGTAATAGCACAGGAGAATCCAGCTGACTAAGAAATAAATGTAAGTGCTTTGTGTCATAGCTACTACTCCTAGTTTCTTCTAATTACATAAGATTATTTATCCCAGTTTACTTTCTGTATAATCCAAACTATAAATGGATGACATACCAACAAAATTGGAAAATATCAGTAGAGCCAATGATACTAGGAAGTGTTTATTAATGGAACATTAGGTGGAGCCATAAAATCCTTCAGGTACTATTAAAATCTCCAGATTAGTAGTTTAGCCAAATCTACTGAACACATACAGCAATTAGCTCTTTATTTTTTCCCAGTAGCATGACTGCAAAATACTAGAAAATAATTATGATGATCATACCAAAGCAATGTGTAAGGACCAAAAAGAAATTTACTATTTTTTTTTAAATCTAACAGCTGTTAATATTGTCTTTAAAACATCTTCAGGTTTTACATTTATAAATCAGGTGAACAAAATTTATGATTCTCTTACATCAAAGATAGAAATAGGAAACAAGAAAGTAATGCCTATGTGCACCCTCACTGTTCTAGCTGGAAGATAATCCCTTTTTTGGCCCTGTAGTAAGTTGTCCTGAGATTAATGATGAAACATTAGGTAAAATTAGCAAGACATTTCCATTTTATAAAATCACAGTTTATAATATACTTTAAAAAATATTAACAGCTGTTCTCTATCTTGTGCTTAATTCAGAAAGAGATGTAAATTTCCATCTTATGGATCACAAAAACTTAATTTTATATTGCTATCCTACACCCCAAATCCTGTTCAAGTTATATTTGCGTCAAATAGGCCACACATTGCTTGGACATTACATTTTTCACTAATTTATCATTTATGCACCTGTTCTTTGAAAACATCTGGTTTGAGAAATAAATTGCCACCTTCCTCTTCTAAGTGACACCAGGCAGTGATTTACAGAAGTGCCTCCCAGATAAAAAATCAGAATAGGGTCCACTCTATAAACACTGATTTTGGTTGATGGGGAAAACAGTTACAAACACAGTAGTAGTTCAGTCTTTAACTCTTGGTAGATTGTAAGCATAGCGCACCAAAGGAAATCCTCGGCTCTGATAGAAGCAGGCTCTTCCACAGGCCTGTACCTGGTCTGAACTGTCTGAGACAAAGGAATCTTCTTCATCTGCATAGTCCGAGTGGGCCGACTGTGTGCCACAATCAGACCAATAACCCTCTGGTCTTTGGCAAGAAGCCACTGCCAATGCAGGGCAGCTGTGTGATTTTATTAAGTGTTTGCATGATACTGGTTTTGTCAGAAGAAATGATTCACAACAGTCACACACAGTCAGGTTACCCTGCAAGTGAGAGTACATGCCACAGTCATAGTAGAAATCCTGTTCCACACAACCTCCTTGGCTACTGATGGAGACCGAAACCGATCCACTTTTCTTGGTAACACGTCGCTTCAGTAACTTCCAGTCTTCTTTAAACTTTGGATTGAAGAAAACATACAGGACCGGATTCAGGCAAGCAGGCAATGGGAAAAATATCAGAGTAACGGACTTCATTATTTCAGGGCTGATTGAGATTGCAGTGATCAATGGTGCAAATGAGAAAAACGCAACAGGGCAGAAAAAGATGCAATTGGTAAAGATTAGCCAAGCCACATGCTTAATCATGCTAGACTGTGAGTTTTCTGAGAGGTCCTCTTTTTCCAAGTTGCAGTAAAGTTTAGTGTAGATAATGGCCATTAATAAAAATGCTACTGAGTTTAACAGCACTAAGGTTACCGTATAGCCCAATGATGGCGTCTCTCCTGTTGGAAAGGGCAAGCACAAGGGTGATGCAGAATACTCCCCTCTGTGGAAAAGAGGGGAACAGCCTGCTACTGCAGCACCCAGGAAAGCAAACAGGGCAGCAGTCCGGAACCGCTTGAGATGACTGCTCTTCCCATTTTTCATTATATCTTTTGCAGATAAGCTTCTTTCAACAGCTGCTAATGTTAATAAAAATATGGCACTCTCTGAGGAGAAAACTGCAAGAAATCCAGCTACTTTGCAGCCACTGCCCGTCTCCCACCAAATGCCAAATTCAGCGAATCTGCCCCAAGACACAGCATCGAGAAAAGTTAGGATGCCCGTATAGATTCCCATGAATAAGTTAGACACAGAAATCAAGCCTATGAACAATTTGGAGGAAGGCAGTGATGTACAAGATGCAAATGTTGTTAAAATGACAAGTAGGTTGAAAAATAGTGCAACCAAGAAAATGAACCACACAGTAAGACGGATCATCCAGCTTCCCAGTAAATATTCACAGGGCTTAAAAGCACCTAAAATGAAAAAGAGGACAAATGAAAGTTTATGAGGACCATATTTCATATGATAAGGCATGATAAAGTAATGATAGTTAAATGTTCAATAAGTTTGCTACCTTTTGAAAAAATTAGTAGTTCTAAGATACTTCAGTCATGGACTAGGCTTTAATTTCTTTTATCAAATATCTGGCAAGGTCACACAGAGATATTCCAAAGGAAAAAAAATTTACTTCTTCTTATGCTGAATTAATACACATAATGCAGATGTCTAACGCATAAAAGGTACTTGATAATACTGAAGGTCTGGAATCAAATGGTCCATCACTTGCTAGTCTTACCTTTGGAGAGCAACTAAGACCTCCATCAATTTTACTATCTCAGCTATGGATAATAATGCTTGTTTCACAGATCTGTGCAACTTAAGTGAAATTACATAACAGAGTACTTAAGCAGGCTGCCCGGGACATAGTTGGTCTTCAGTAAATATTAGTTCCTCTTTCTTCTTTCTTTGTAGTCCCTATATACTTTATAACTGTACATGTATATAGACATACATATTTAAACATATTTCTACCCATTTCTTATGGTTTTCAAAGGCAACCTGATGATGAAAGTTACAATAGGCATAATCATCCCCATTTTTCATCCAGAGAAACTCACATTTCAAAGCCTCTGATTGACCTGACAAAGACAATCCAGTAAGATAGTATAGCTAGGGTTAAACCACACTGATAATAACTATACAATGCTTGGTACCAAAAAAATAGCCCCATATAACACAAGGATTGCCAGAATTGATTGAGTAACTGAATTGTTTGTTCTAGTAACTGATTTTCACATGCTAGTTATGTCATAAGTGACAACTGTCATATTTTAAAAATTAGGAATGAATAAAAAAATTGACAAGAAGCACAAGAAAACTATGTATTGCAATTATCTAAAAGACATGTTTCATCTTTCTGAACTGACATGACATTTGACATGTGCAATAAACCATTTCAGTTGTCAAGATATGCAAGACCTAAAAAGCTAATTCTGCACAATTTATCTGATTTCCAAGTAACACAAACATTTATAATTTAAATTTTATTTTCATTTCCCCCTCTGGAAGTGCTTTAACACCCTTATCTCTGTATAGGAATTCATCCTTCTTTATGAGCGAGGAGCAGCTCATCTGACCTGGGAGAACAGGACATCTTTTGGGAAATGTTTCATAGGTCACTTTCCCCCAAAAAAAGCAGCCAATATCCAGGCTCTGTTTTTGAAGCCTGCTGCATTCTCTTGATCAAACAAAAGGGTCTGGTTTCTCCTCCACTACCTCCTTCTGCATAAGCATACCTATGTCTGTGTTATCATAACTGAGTTCAACCTCACTGCCATCTTAGGGAGGTGACCTCAAGCCAGCTTTCCTTCCAGCCAAACAGTGTGAAAGAAATGGAATTGTTGCATGTTTAAGTCCAGTCTCCCCTTTAAGAAAGATGTTCCCTGCTTACTGGAGTCCAGTTCTTTCTGTATATTCTCCAACACATGAACCCCAGTGGAGCAAATAAGTGAGTTGCATGCACCCCAATTTCCAAAAATCAAGATAGGGACTAACACACAGCAAAATAAACTAAAACAATTCTTGGCTGATCCCAGACATGCATCATAACTTTAAACTTATTCTCTACACAAGGCACTGTGTTAAGTATTCAAAGACTACAAATACAACACTACAAGAAGGTCACAATTCAGCAGTCATCATTAGTGAATTCATAATGCCCAGATAATCCTGTGGCATCATATTAACAAAGAATCTACTTTGTAGACATAATTTAAGCAAAATTAATGAATCCTTTCTTTAACAGTAACATTGTAAAACTATCTTCTCAGATAAATCAGGCAGAATATTACAATCACAACCAAATGTGTGGCATCAATTTAGCAACTTTCCCAAGACTCCTAAGTCCAATGAAGTAAATCAGAAAGAAAAGCCATGATTGCATTTCTAAAAATATTAATAACTCCCAAATTTAAAAATCCTTATAAATCAATGAGTTTGTTGAAATAGACGTAGAGTTAAAGGAGCAGTAAGAAACTGCCTCCCAGCTTGGCCCTCACTCAGGGAAGACTGTTAACATGCAGAGTGGGACTCAGTGGATCTGGCCCTGAAATCCTGCAAGGGATGCCTGAGCTGCTAGTATACAGACCACACTGAGTCAGAAGGTCTTACAGACAGGTTCATCTCATCCCACCATCACTATACAAGAAGTCACATGCCTCCCCCAAACTTTTAAATATATATGCCCCATGTTTACATAAAGTGAGAAATTATGACAAAACAGGCTGGGCGTTACCTGTTGAGGGGGTACAATGGATAATTATTTGACTATGTTCTTCATTTTCAGCATTGCCTGTGACATTTGCTGCATCACCAGTACCTGAATATGGAACATAAAGAATGTTCAATTGAAACTGTTTGTAAAAGTACAATATTTCCCTACCTTTTTTTCTCTTCAATGTGATGTACATTCAACTTATCTGAGCCTTGATAATGTTTAAGGTGGCAGTAACAAAGTCAATGCCATTTTCCTCACAGACTTCATATTGATCTTTCCCAAGCTGATTATAATACAGACACTTTGATTAATGCCTAAGGAGCATTCTAAAAGTTCATGAACTTGCCTTTGTCTTTTGTCACACTATGGTCTTGGAGGATGTTATCTTCTGTGTTTAAATTTGCATACGAGTCACAACCCCAAAATGCACAGCACTGATAAGCATATGGTACCGATAAAGACCTGGTTAAAAAAAATTGTAAAATACACTTTGAATAGCGGCTTCACAGATAGGGTTTTGTCTTGTAAAAACTATTCTCTGAAAACTGCAGTGAGAAGTCAGGAAGACCTGTCATATGTTTTAGGCTGGCCATTTATCCTCCCCAGGCCTCAGTGTTCAAATCTATGAAAAGAGCTCTGGTGGGCAGAAGAAGGACGGGGATGGTTAAGAAAGATATAAGATGTGGTGAATCTGATCAAAATACATTATATGCATGTATAATGAAATCCCTCTGTACAATTAATTTATGCTAATAATTTTTTTAGAAAAAGTTTTGGAAAGTTCATGAAGATCACAAAGATACACCATGAGGACGGGATGTGTGGCTCAAGTGGTAGAGCCCTGCCTCGTGAGAACAAAGCCCTGAGCTCAAACTCCAGTATCAACAAAAAGTAAAAAATAAATAAATGCCATGACCGTATCCTTTCCATAAGGAATTTTAAAAGTTTAATGCAAACTAAGTCATATTTAAAATATCATAACAATACTGTAATCTAAAGTAAAAATCTTATACATGGCTTAACCATCCTCAACGTAACATATGAAACTGGTAGTTTCATTTCTCCAGGTCATTTGTGACTTTGTATCATTAAATAAACTTATACTGTTCATATAAATGTAGTGAAAGTATTTATTCTCTTTTCCACAATAATATTCTCAAGCCCTTTCTCTGCCACTTATAAAGAGGTCTCCCTATAAATCTGAAGTCTCTATGTAGTATCACAGCATTATAATACTTTTATGTAAGCTCACACTAATATAGTAGGTGACATCTTATTGCGCATGACAAGTTCATTATCTTAAAAAAATTCTGAGCAGTTACACTATGTCTTTGAGAACGTCAAGCACTTCTTCAGTCCATGTTCTCAACAACTGTAATAACACTCATGCTGTCATTCACTAAATTTGCAAGGATAGAGTAGAAAATACCCATAAATTATATACTACCAAAAAATGTGGGAACCACAGCAAAAAAACAAAACCAAAAAAAAATACGACACTGTAATTTTGGAGCCTACCATAAACTCAATAAAAAAAGAGAAATAAGCAAAAACACACCTGAGATTACCAAAGTCTTTTGCTGCTAAGGCTTCTTTCAGCTTGAAGTTTCCTACAAGTTTCAGTTGATTTAGCCCATTCAGGCCTTCCGTAGGAAATGCAGTTAATTTGTTGAAACTTACATCTCTAAAATGTGAATGAGACTTCAAGTTAACTCCCTAAGATACAAATCACATTAAAAAAAAGTCTGTACATATTTTCACATAACAAAATTAAGTTCTGGTATGCTAAAATGATAGATATGTCTTGTCATGTAAGAAGCTGTCACTATATCAACATACTTTAGCATACATACTAGAAAACAACTAAATAGAAAAATATTTTCAAGCTGGGTTGGTGGCTCACACCTGTAATTCTAGCTACTTGGGAGGCAGAAATCAGGAGGACCAAGGTTCAAGACCAGCCCATCCAAATAGTTCATGACATACCCCACCTCTAAAATAACCAGAGTAAACTGGACTGGAGGTGTGGCTCAAGTGGGAGAGTGCTTACTTTGCAATTAAGAAGCCCTAAGTCAAATCCCAGTCTCACCAAAAAAAAAAAAAAGTATTTGACCATGTTAAAACATATCCATAATCCTAGCACTCAGGAGACAGGAGAATTGAGAGTTTGAGGCTAACCTGGGCTATCTAGTGAGACCCTGTCTCAATAAATAAATAAATAAAAAAGAAAAGCACAAATTTCTTTAGCACTATCTACTAATTTTGTGATATTACTGTATACAATCATCTGTCTACTTACAGATTAGTAATTGGCCCAAGCTTTGCAAAAGCTCTGCTGTGAATTTCATGGATCAGATTTCTACTCAAATCTCTGAAATTATAAGAGTAACATGTTAATTTTTTTTTAAATAAACACTCAAAATACCAGTCAGTTAACTTAAATTGTACTTTAGAATCTGAGGTAGTAACATGATACCCCTGATGACAAAGATCTTCAACCTTCTCCAGCAACATTTTTCATGTTTATATTCATTGTCCCTCTTTTCTAAAAATCTATTTCTTAAAAATTTGCTCCCTGTAGCAGTAAGTTTAGCTGGCATCTGTTTCAAAACAGCTGTGAATATTCTTTATTTTATCATTCTGGTACCAGTTCAAAAATTGAAATGATGTAAACCTTTGGTACTATTAACTAGGGGAGGAAAAACCCAGCCCCCAACAAAGCTGAAAATAAAAACAGGCTGCACAGTTGTTTGCTTTCTCAAAGGTTAGTGATAAGACTCTGAAGGAAAACAAATAATCAATAAGCAAATAAGAGCATTCCAGGAGGGTTTCAGATAGCATTCTTTTCCAAAGCAGGAAACTAAAAAAACCCTATTAATAGTAGAGCTAGCTTTATGCTCACAAATACACCCCGAAAAATTCTGATATTACAGAATTAACAAACCAGAGAAAATTTATAACCACACTTATATTAAGCCTTAATGGAAATTTAAAGATTGGATAAATTGATTCCAGAGCAAATCTCCTGGATAACAGAAAACATGACAAAGTTGGTTACAAATCATGAGAAGACCTGTTTTTTACTGTTGTAGCCCATCGGTGCTCTAGAGATGATGGCCCTGTCCCCATGGGCTGCCCAGGCCCACAGAAATCCCGTCCACCACAAAGGAAGATGCACCAACCCAACTACCAGTTAAACAATTTTTAGTAGAATGAATGTTTTTGTTTGTTTGCTTTTTGTGGTGCTGGGAACCAAACCCAGGGCCTCGTGCATGCTAGAGAATTGAGCTACTACTGAGCTATATAACCAGCCTCTTTTATTCCTAAAAGGGAATCCACTAAAAAAAACAGATTCAATACATGTAGGTTCTCTTCACTGTCAAGCTTTCAAACTTTATATTTAAACTATATGCATTAATTTAGTGTATTACATTTTCTATACTAGAGTTCTATGAAGGTAGTGAGTGACATGGTTTATAACCTCTATACTCCCAGGCTTAGTAGACTGCCTGGCACAAATGTGTGTGTCTGTGTGTGTGTGTGTGCGTAAGCATGTGTGTGTGCATTTATTTATTTATGTGGTACTGAGGATCAAACTCAGGACACTGCACCTTAATGTCTACCCCTAGTCCTTTAGCTTTTTTGTTTGTTTTTCAGGTAGGCTCCCCTGCTTTTTGCTGGGCTGGCTTTAGACATAACCCTCCCAGCTCTGCCTCTCAAGTAGCTGGGATTGCAGGTTAAATTATACCACCACGCCTACCTTGTTTTTAATATAGGATCTTACTAACTTTTTTTGTCTGGGCTGGCCTCAAACCCAGATCTGCCTATGTCTGTCTCCAGAGTAGTTGGGATTATAAGTGTATTTCATCACATCTAGCCCTAGGTAAATTTTAAAATGAGTGCTTCTGCTATATATAAGCTGTATTTGTTACGACAGACACCTTAAAGCAGGGGCCAGCCAACTTTTCTCTGTAGAAGGCCAAATAGTAAATATTTTCACCTTTGTGGGTCAGCGGCCTCTGCTGTAACTGCTCAGTTGTGTTATACCAGGAGTAAAGCACCTTCAGCAAAAGGCCTGGCCATAATTCAACAAAATATACAAAAACCAGAGGTAGGCTGGAGTTAATGAGTTCAAAAACTTCACTATTGTGACGTAAAAACAAACCAGATACATCACTTAGGTTAAATACATTATACTTTTGTCACTCACTGAAGTACAATATCACTAATTAATTAAGATCAAACAGTACAAAAGAAGATTATTTATAAGTAATAAATAATCTTTATTATTTTGAACAGTATTTTATAACAGAAATATTTTTAAATATAGCTATTAACATGGAAATCATAATGATACATGAATTTATAGCTTGACAACAATTTTGTCTTTAAAAATCATAGACAAACTCACAGAATCCTTAGGGATGCCAGGCCTTGAAAAGTATTTTCCTTTATTTCATAGATTTGATTACGTTGCAATGAACTAAAAACGAAAGAGAAGACAGAAAAATTACTTTCTATCTGGAAAAATAACATTCTTAGTTAAACATTTCTAAGGTTAAATACCTATTCATTTGTATGTAGCATTAATGATCCTGTTGAATGCAAAGAAAATTATCATTTCCCCATCTGTGAAATGAGCAGACTAGACTAATTGGTATTCCATCTTAAATTATACTGGAAGTTAGCTGGTGCACAATCCAAATTCCTTATCAAGTCTACTCAAGTGTGAGAGAACAGAAATGACATAGTGAGAAAGAATTCAAGTAGCACAGGTTAGAGAGGGAGATAAAAAAATAGGAGAATTAGTTCCTCTCTCTTCCTAATGTCCTGACCAGCTCCCATCAGAGCTGTTCTACACAGGCACACAGCGGGTACCAATGTCCATGCCTTGTTTCTCTCAGTACCCAAGATACACTTGCCTGTGTTTTTAGATATAGCTACCCTCCCCTTCCAACATCTAATAGAATGCCTACTAAATGCCTGCTGCATGAAGAGATCTGGTACAATTTGGCACTTTCCTCACAGTAACAATTGATTATATGAATTTCTAATTTGTTAATATTAAAACAATTTATTTAACATAACCTGCTCAACAAACTAATAATATACCACAGCAAAAACAGTAAAAGACCAACTTACATTTCTTCTAGAGCATGGCAACCATTAAAACTCGGAAGGTCTCTTATATTGTTGTAAGATAAGTCCCTTAAAGCAAGAAAAATTAACAAATTAATGTCAATATTAGAATACTGTATCAAAAGCACTACACCCAGAAGCATCAAGAAAGCAGCTCCAAAATCTTCAAAAATAGACATGGCTGAACAAGAAAAGCAATTATTTTTTCCCTAAGACTTTTAAGCTTTGAGAGAACCTTAGTGATTTATAAAGTTTAAAAATATAATGTTGAGTATAGACAATATGAACAATGCTAAAGTATATTGAATTCTACAACAAATATATAAAATACAACATAGAAAATATATAAAGCTTCAGTTTTTTTAAAAAATAACATTCTTTCCAATATTTTTATGCCATAAATAAATTTCTATGCAGTAGAAATTTTAATTTATTTAAAAGCTGTAATGGCAGTAGTATGCTTACTCACGTCTTTTAAAATGTTTATACTTAATAGCAAAATAGTTAATATTTAATCCCAGTTTTCCCTCCTTGGTGATCATCACGTTTAAGTTTGATACCCCACTAAGCCATTGCATTACTTGTTCAGCCAATTCTCACTTGCTACCATCTCCTTCCGCTGAATACTTATTAACAACTTAGTAACTTATAGTTGTTTGTTCTGGTGACAATTTTATACATAATTACTATTCTGATTCAAGAAGGCTTCAGGCTCTACTAGGTTATAGGTGAAGCAGAAGAATATGGGGAGGTAATGCCCCTGGGGAAACTAGAATAAGGACAAGGAGTCAGAATAAGAAAAACAAAAAACAAAACAACAACAACAACAAAAAACAGGCTGAGGTTGCAGGGCTCTGGGTTCAATCTTGGGAGGGAGGAAGGAAGAAAAGAAAGGAAGGAGGAAGGAAGGAGAGAGGAAAGGAGGGAGGGAAAGTTAAGAAGGTAGTTTAAGGAAGGAAGGAAGATTAAGGAAGGAAGGAAAATGTAGGTCAAGGAAGAACCTAGCTTAGTTTTACTTCGCTCTAAGTTATAAGATGTATGACAGACCCTAAAACCATCTTCAGACACACATTATCACCTCTGTAGACTATTGAAACTCTGCCCACTTACACAATAGGAACAAGCAAGAAATAATTATACATTTAAACTCCAATATGAAGTATATTCACAGCTGGGATACATTGAGAAACTCCTTTGAACAGTGACATTGCAATGAAAAATGGAAAACAGGACTGTATAATAGGTACAGTGCAGGGGTTCTTGTGGGAGGGGGTGGTGAATGGAGGAGATGAAGGTGAGGGAATATGGTTGATGGGCTTCATACCTCTTGCAATTGCTTTAAGTGGGGTGGGGAGAGGGGTTGTTGTGGGGGAGATGGTGGGGACCATCTAACCTATGTAAGGCTGTTTGGAATTGGCACAATAAATTCCCTCACACAGTGAATATATACTAATAAAAATGTAGTTATGAACTGTATAGCTTAATATATTACATTGAATTTAAAATTTTAAATGTCTACCTAGATTTGCCATTTTTCACTTATGCCAGAAAAAAAAAAAAAGAATTTATTGAGTTTACTGTGTTAAATGCTAGCAACAGTATTGGAAGTGTAATATAAAAAAAATTTTTTAAAGGAAAAAAAACCAAAACTACAATATGAAAATAGTTCATCAAAAATAAAAGTGAACATTTGTAAAGTACATAGCAGAAAGACATAAGAAGGGAAAAGAATCTAACTTACAGAGTCCTAAGCATCTTTTGTTCTCGGCACAAATTATCAGGTATGCTGCTTATCTTTGTACCTGTCAAGGTCCTGTGAAAACACATTGGTTTCATGTAAGAAATAATTCATGTCAGGATAGTAACAAAATGTTAGGCTCATACACAAAAATAAATCCTTACATATTTGCATATGAAAACAGTCTAAGCATCCAACTATCACCTAAAGTTAGGTATGTGGGAAGATGAATTAACCCTCAATACTGATATCTTCTTCACAGAATGGAAAAAAAGTTGGGGGCACAGATGTTAATTTTGTTCAATGATGAGTTTGATTCCCACATGGACCAAGAGAAAAACAAAAATTCACAGGCATACTCTGGCCACAATTACCTGCAAGCTCTGTCACCTTCTTATGCCCAACACATTTGAAATCAACTTAGCATTCTACCCCAAATACTGTTTCTGTCTTTTCTGTCAGTTGACTTGGCTTAGCATTTTGAAATCATCTCTTATTTTGCTCCCTATCTATGCTCCCACCACTTGCAATCAATCACCAGTTCCTGCTATATCTTTTTCTGTGTTCTAGCATCCAATCCTTTCTCCCCATATTCACTGTTGTGATGCTGATCATGGATGAAATGTTGCAGAAAGCACTGTAGGAATCTGACAGATCATGCTATTTGTTCTGGGGCAAATCCAGTGATGGGCTGAAGCCTCTGCACTTTTCTTGCTCTCCTCACATCACCCACTCAAACATTCTCAACACCTACAAACTGCATTAAAGGTCAAATTAAAACTCCTTTTGAACTTCTTTTTTGTACCTTGGCACATATGAAAATCATGACATTCATACAAAATACCATGCTAAAAATTCCAACAGCTAAAGATCCTGTAGCTAAAGACAGCCAGGTGGGGTGGCTTTAGGCCCTACCTGGCTGACTATCTGGAGGACTGACAGCAAGATCTTAGATGCACCTGTAATCCATTCACAGACCATTGACAAGGAAACTTTGCCGTAACCACATGTTCAGTGTTCAAGACTTGTTATTTTTAAAATCTGGTCCCAATTTTCTAAATTTCTCCATACCACAACCCCAACCCATTGAAAGCATACAATTCTTAGCTGTATTTGATCATCTGTATGCCATCCCTGAGCATATTTTTGGTATTTCCAGTATTAGTAAATCCAGCCATTCTAAATAAAAGACTCAGCTCTGGGTCTCCTTCATGAAGCCTTCTCTGATGATCTAAGTCAATCGGTCCCCCTTCTGAATTCCTAAAGCACTGCTTCCAATTTGGTACTTAGTTATTGCCTTATATTTTTAGTGACCTTTTCTGATCTTCTCTCCACATAGTAGGCAGAAACTCAATACCTCGTTCTCCATATGTAATATTCCCAAAGGGAAATGTTGAGCAATGACCACAGACCAATCATCATCACCAACAAGGACTGGCACCCTGCTAGCACTCAGCCACATTATCTTTACTTGACCCCTCTTCAAAATGCCACACTTACAGACTCTCTAGATGGACAGTTCCAGTCAGATTGGGGAACCACTGAACCATGCTTGCACCACGAATGACTCTTTAAGAAATTGGGGGAGAAAAAGTAATTTAAAATAAACTGTCTTTCATAGATATTTTCATTATACTTTTAAGCATTTTGAAATTACAGTATTACTATTAACTAAATATAACCTAGTTTCATATTGTGAAGGTACGTGAAAACATGATATAATTTGGTCAAGTGTTCACATAAATAAGAACCACTGTAAATTTTCAGAGTCATCTTTTTTACTTCAATCCAAGGGGAAAGAAATAAAAGATTGCTGTTTTCTGAAGCTACAATAATACATTCTTATTTTCCATTAAAAGGACTATATAAATATTCAGGGCTTTTGTTTTTTTGTTTTTGGCAGTACTGGAATTTGAACTCAAGGCCTTGCACTTGCTGAGCAGACACTCAACCACTTGAGCCACACTCCCAGTCTTTTTTTTTTTGCTTTAGGTATTTTTTGGAATAGGATCTCACATTTATACCTGGCTTGAACCTGATCATCCTATTTATGCTTTGCACCTGGCTGAGATGACAGGTGCACACCACCATGACCAGCTTTTATTGTTTAAGATGGGGTCTCACAAACTTTTTGCCTGGACTAGCCTTGAACCATGCCTCCCAAGTAGCTAGAATTCCAAGCGTGAGCCACCATGCCCGAGTTTGGGTGTGTTTTTAAACTTGCCTAATACTTACAAGGAATGCAGATCAGATAGATTGTGAAATGCTGAGTTTCCCACAAAAGATAGAGGATTATCATACAAATGTCTGTTTAAAAAAAAAAAGCAAAAGAAAACAATGTTTTCATATGTTTACCAGCACCCTAAGATTAAATCTATATTCACAATGTACATTTATCTAAAAGCCTGAATTTTCATTCTTTATCCACATGCTGGGCATTGTGCAGGGATATACTTACATGATTATATATTAAAAGAAACTTTTGAACATACTTACATGGTTCGTAAGAGTGGATTACCACTAAATGCTCCATCAGGGATAACAGAAATAGAATTACTATGAAATCCCCTAGAAAGACAGGAGAATAACATTTTGAAATGCATATCCCCTATGAAATAAGTTAAAACCTAAGCTTCTATTGATATTCAGCATTATAAAAAGCATAACTGATAACATCCACATATACATAAGCATTTAAAAAAATGTGGGGAACCTGAATTTTTATTTCTAGCCCATCTTTTTCAGGACTATACCTAAATCTTCTAAAACCCACTGCTTAGCCTAGTATCTAACAAGTTCCTCATATGCATTTATCTGTTGCTTCATCATCAAAGAACTTTATACCATGAAAATCTTGAGGTGTTTTAGTTCCCAAATCTCTCTCACTGTAGCCTGCATTTTGTCTTTAGGCAGTGCATGTTAGACTAGCAGCTGTCAACTCATGACACACAATCTTTGTTATACCATATACATTCCTATCTCTGCTTATGACAAACCCCAAATGCTCCCTCATTCCTTTCATTTATTTAAATTTTTACATTTGTTTCAAGTCTGGTCAAATCCATTCCCTTTAGTGATGCCTTTTCCAATGACCATAAGCCTCAGTGAGATCTTTTTCTGGAATGATTTATTGATCTTCATTCAACACCTATTTCTACTAGAAATCTGTCTATATTCATGGTCTGCCTTCCCAGTGAGACTCCCTATAGGCAAAGAGTGTACATCACATCTTTTTGTTTCAGCAGCATCTTACCCTATGTAGTAATCTATGTTCAAAACTATTTGTACTGGTTAATGCAATCCGATTTGTATGACTGAGTAAGTGTGTGTTTGTGTGTACTGTGGATCACTGTAATAGAATGAAGATGCTGTAAGGTCTCATTGTTGGAACATAGAATGGTGAGTTCTATGGATATTAGGCATTAGATAACAAAGTAATACTCACAGCTCTTTTAGGCTAGGAAGGGCTTTAATAGCCTGAGGAAATTCCTCCAAGTTATTATAATTCAAATCCCTTGGGGGGAAAAGGGAGAAAATAAGTCAGAATATGAATAGTCATCACAATTCATAAGGCCTTTTAGTACAAATGAAAGCTAAAAGATCACATGCTCTAGTTAGTAATCTTTCTTAGCAACCATATTATCATTCAAAACCTTATATGAGTTTAATTGAATTTATAGTTTCTAATATTGCATAGGAAAAAATCAGGCATCTTCTATGATTTTTTTAGGTCAATAAATCTACAAGTTTGAAGAATTCTCAGAATCACTTACCACTGAGGGATTAAAGAAACAAATTTTCTGAACGGTATTTCTCAGAAAATTCACCATGACATGAAACTGAGGCTTCCATTTGGAGTTTAGAGTGGCTTCTTGAAATTCTGGTATGAGGGTGGCTGACCTCAGCCCCACTATCAGCATGGAAACTTGAGATAAGAATAACCAGGAGAAGTACTAGGGTCGATTCACACAATGAGGTCCTCATATAGGTTATGAATTATTGAAAATGTTATGTCAGTTAGGAGAGGGATAAAGCCATGGTGGTCAGCAGTAAAAAGTCTAGTTCTGAGAATGTTTCAATGTTAATTTCTCTTAACATAAGGAGCATATTGGCATATGATTATAGCATAGTTAATTTCAGAATGAGAGTAAAATAAAAATTCCAGGTTCTTTGAGACTTGTTTTGTTTTCTACACAGAAGAAAAAAAATGGCAAAAAGAAATTAAACTGACTAGGAAAAAGAGATTTTTTTTTTTTTTTTAAGGGAGGGCAGTGCTGGGGGCCTCATGCTTGCTAGGCAGGCACTCTATCACTGGAGTCAGGCCTCCTGCCCAGACTTAATTTTAATATAATATGAATAGCATACATGACCTAGGGCCCATTCAAGCTTTTATCTGTCACAATAAAAATAACACACTTAGCAAAGGAGACCTGAGTTTGGAACGAGCTTCCTTAAGATCCTTAAGTGTCTAACGATGTCCTATTGTTTAATTGTTTAGACAGGAAAGTGGGTTAATAGAGTCCTATAAGATTTTTAGTCTTTTCAGAGGCTGACAGTTAAACAAAATATTATAAACCCTAAACATTCTAATAAGGCCTTACCCATGTGATATTCATTCTCTGAATCATTTTACTACATCACAATAGAAAATATCATGTATCATGCATGAAATGTCATAATAAAACCCATTAAAATGGTCCCAAAAAACCCCAGGCCTTAACAATATAATAACAAGGCCAGAATTCAGTGCCTTATGCCTGTAATCTGTAATCGTAGCTACTTGAGAGGCTGACATCAGGAAGATTAAGGTTCTAGGCCAGCCTGGGTTAAAAAATAAAAAAAGTTCAAGAGACCTCACCTCAACAGAAAAGGCTGGGCATGGTGGCACGTGCCTGTCTTCTCACCTACAGTAAAAAGCCTAGACTAAGAGGATCACGGTCCAGGTCATCCTGGGCAAAAAGTTAGACCCTATTTCAAAAATAACAAGAGCAAAAATAACCAGAGCAAAAGAGGTAGAGTGCCTGCCTAGCAAGCACAAAGTCCTCAGTCCAAACTCCAGGAATATAAACCTAAAAAAACATTTTTCCTCCTTAAAAAAATGTTATATATCTTTGAATAGAGGCAACAATGCAACTAATATAAAGTAAAACATCAACAATAAACATCCTGCTGTCAGGGCTGGCAGAGTGGCTCAAGTACCCCAGCACTGCAAAAAAGGAAGAAAAAGCAAGGGATAAAGAAACAGCCTCCTCTCAATTATACACAGCTGCCTGGGGTCTGTTACTGAAGTAGTGGTGCAATACACTGCTGAAACAGCCAGAAATCCCCAACATTTCAGCAAGTGGGAACAACAGAAGTATCATATATAAAATATAAACCTTAATTCGTCACGTTTTAGCATGCGGGGAAGCAGATGCAGAATTTTAAAAACTCAATACAAACAATTAGCAAGACAACTGAGATCATGGCGGAAAAAAAACCTATCCAGAACTAGTTTTAGAAGCTTTAAAGTTCCCAAACTGTCATATACTTAAATCTCTGCAGATTGAGCTGGTTTTAATATGCATTTGGGAAGAAGGGTCACGCAATTCACACTTAGGTGCCATTTTTAAACATAAACAGATTATTATTATTCACAACTGGCTTATTTGATGACAAAAATATAGTGTTATGTTAAAGCGGGCAAATTAACAATGACCTGAACTCAAGAACAATGTCTTTATTTTTTCTGCAGTGAAATATAAAATCCTATTATCAGTCTCACAATGTGATCATTCAAAATGTGAATATACTTACAAGGTCTCCAGGTTATCTAGTCCATCAAAACAGTGTTGACTTAGGCTTTTAATTTTATTGTTGTGAAGATGCCTATGAGAAAATAAGCATCAAAGTGACTTACATCTTCTAGTAGCAACTATTAATTGTTTAATATGCCTAAATTGGTGTGGCTTAAAGGAATGGTGTAGCTAAACACTTCAGTACTTGACTACGGAAAACAATTACCTTTTGCCTTGCACAATATAGACTCACTGAACATAGTATGCCAATAGAAAGGAGAAATCTCACTAATGAAAAAATGCTACACACAGCATTTACATATGTAAATGGCACAAAACTTTACATGGCACAAAACTTTAGTGAGCTCTCCTATGGTAGGAATGGTATGAGGTACATGAGTTTGTATCAACAAGATCGAAAACAGATTTTAAAAGAAATGCCACTTTATAATGTCTGAGTTTTGGAAGATTAAAAATACAGAGAATTTCCTACTCTTCAAACAGAAAAGTTGGAAAAGTATGAAAAATACTTGGAACTTATTTCTATGAGTATCTCAAAGTTGTTTTGCCTCTTTTAACACAGAATAAACAAATCCATTTCTGGGACACAAGAAAAAGCTGTATAAGTATTTGGTGAATGACCCAATTTTTCTCATGAATATAAGTGACCATTTGTTTTAGGGAGACTCAACAGCTATTACTTGATATCCATTTTTTAAATTCTCCTATTTTGTATTTCAAAAGTTAGCAAGTTTAATCTTGTACAAGGGCAACTCCCCTAAATATTAACTATTCAGAAGCAGGATTGGTGAGGTATTTCATAATAATTTGTCACAGGAAACCTGGTTTTGCCCCAAATTAACATAAGTATGTGGCACTACGAGGGATGGACACTTACAGAACCACCAGGCTTGAAAGGTTGGTAAATGCGAAGTCAGGAATGCTTGAGATTTTGTTGAGCGCCAAGGTCAGCGCCTGCAGAGTAGGCAAGTTGCTGAGGGGATGCACGGGCACCTCAGTCAAGCTGTTGTCGTCCAGCCACAGGTGCCGTAACTGAACAAGCCCTTCAAAACTGTCCTCTGGGACTGAGGTAATATGGTTGGCATCTAAACGCCTGACAAAAACAGAAACAGTCACGTTCAGTAACAAATTCTGGTGGGAATGAGTAAATCTGAGTCATACAATTCTCAGAGATTTCAAAACAAAAAGGAATTATAAATGTGACAAGAGCCATGGTGAAATATACATACATATATATATATATATATATATATATATATATATATATATATATATGTATGTATTTTATTTAGTTGTTTATTTCTGCAGTACTGGGGTTTGAACTTGAGGCCAACCCTATCCCTTTTGTGTGATGGGTATTTTCTAGATAGGGTCTCACAAACTATTTGCCCAGGCTGGCTTTGCTGATCTCTGCCTCCTGAGTAGCTAGGATTACAGCATGAGCCACTGGTGCCTGGCTAACAATATATTTTTAAAGATATAGTTTGACAATTTTCTTACATTGTTTATTTATATACTATGGTGCTGGGCATTGAACTCCGGGCCTTCAGTATGCTAGGCAAGTGCTGCACCACTAAGCAGCTTCTCCAACCCTTAAGTTTGGCAACTTTTAAATTTAGGAAATCCCGAGTTTTAGTTTCTTTTCTTGTTTGTTTAAGGTACTGGGGACTGAACTCCAGGCCTGTTGCTTGCTAGGCCATGTGAGCCACACCCCTTGCCCCTCCTGCTTTCTAATCCTGCTCCAACTTCTGCTCCTGTCATAACTCTTGCCCCAAAGCAAGTTCTGGCCTTCTGTTCCCAACTAACAAGCCCTAGACTGAGGTGCATTCTCCTACCTAGAGGCAGATTTGCAGGGATGACTGAAAGGGGAGCACTCTAGGGAACTGAGTAGCTCCCTTAATAGTCCACCTACCGAAAATTTTTAGACTTCTATCCTCTTTGGGCTTTCTAAAACTTATCCCTGAAAAGAAACTGGCATCTTCTATGCATCAGACTGGCAATATAGTGGCAACAGGCCTGTTTAGGAGAATTCTTTTTTTTTTTGCAGTGCTAGAGTTTGAACTCAGAGCCTCCCACTTGCTAGGCAGGTGCTTTACCACTTGAGCCACATGTCCAGCCCTTTTTTGCTATAGTTATTTTTCAGGAAGGGTCTCCCATTTTTGCCCAAGGCCAACCTCAGACCATGATTCACCTACTTAAACTTCCCACATAGCTGGAATGACAGATGTACACTACCACGCCTGGCTTATTAGTTGAGATTAAAGGAAAGAACATGCAGCTTAAGCAGTAGAATGCCTGTTTGAAAGCTCAAAGCCCTAAGTTCAAACCCCAGTCCCACCAAAAAAAAAAAAAAAAAAAAAAACCAAAAAGAGATTGAGATTATATTTTTTTTTGCCCAGGCTGACCTGGAACCATGATCCCATGATCCTCCCAATCTGTACTTTCAGAGAAGCTGGGATTATAGGCATGAGCCACTGAGCCTGGCTAGGAGATTTGTTTTAATAAATAGGAACATGTTCAAACACATAGACACAATTCACAACCTCCTGGAATTTCCATTTTCAGGAACAGACAAAAACAAGTAAAAGCAGAAACTGGGCAAGGGGTGTTTTAGACAAAGGTCAAGGCTGAGACCCGGCAGCAGAAACCAGCTTGGTGAGATCCAGCAACAACCAGAAGGTCAGAGTGACTAAAACAGAGGAGGAAAGCAGTGGAGGGTCCAAGGAGACAGGTGGGGTATGTAAGCAGAGTCCAGATTATGCAGGCCAGGTACAGGGTTTGGATTGAATATAATTACAAATTGAAAATCTTCCCCAGTTTCTCAATGTTATTGCAGCTAAAATGTTTAAATTGCTTATTCTATCATGATAATGTACATTCATATTTAATAAAATAATGAGTGATGGCCTACAAGTAAACACAATAGTCCACTGAAGTTAAGTTTTCTCTATAAAAGTGTTTCATTAAGATATGGCAAAATAGAGTAAGAAGGAAAATAATCCACACCTTTTTAACATAAACCTAATACTATAAATATTAATTAGCTATCTCCTGTTAAGTCTGTGCCATATACCAAAGAAAAGGGATAGCCTTAACTTTAAGTAAGATAACCAGGTGAGTTCTGAGCTGAGAAAGTAATGAGGATATCTTCCATACAAAACAGTGACATAACAATAAAAGCATAGATACAATTCTCACTGTACTAAAAATTCCCCAAAATTGGAACAGTACATATAAGTAAGAGATTATAAGGAAGAACTATGGAAAAATGGAAGAAATTACAAGAAAGAACTATAGAAAAATTGAACCTTAAATAAGAAGTTATATGAGAAAAAGGATTTATGGTAACTCAAAAGGTTAATCCTTATACCTCAATTCACATGTGGGTGTTGATCACATGCCCATCAATGTAGAGTCTGCATTTACACTGAATCAGTGCTTTAGGGAAAAAAATGTCATGATATGTGGCTTTGTATCAAGAACCTACACTGTTAACATTTACACCAAGAAAATGTTATAACTGATTATTTTATTAGATGTTAAATAGCAGCATATCTCATGAAGTAAAGCGATTTTGTGAGTCTCAAGATATTCTATTAAAACTCCGTATAACAAGATACAACTATTAAAGGCAATTTATTGTTAAAAGGCCGACAATATAGTAAGTGCATTCTCTTTTTTTGTCTTGAATAATATGCTTCTATTCTCAAGAGACTATTTTATATTTAAGACTCATATATTTTAATTTCTTGTCGTAAAATTATAGTAACAAAAAAATACTACATGAAGTTTTAGTGTTGATGTCTGTTATCAAAAAACATCTGATCTGTAAAATCAAGTTTTCTCTAACTTATCAATAATGTAAATATTATAGTTATAAACACTTTTAAAATATTAAGGAAAATCTAGGAAATGTAATCTTTGAGATCCTTTAATATGTGATCTAATGTAAAGAAAAAATTCTAGTGGAGCTCACTAGGACATATCATTTTCATAGCCTGCTCAGAAATACCTTTCATTTTCATGGCTTTGTGAGAGTCTGTTATGCTATTTTTTAAATTAATACTAACAATTCAGTATCAGATTTTAGAGTCATCATCAAAACATACTTGCATCAAGCCACTTCTGGTCAATTCCACCCCCAATGAACTTTGATCCTTTTAAGCACTATTCAAAAACCACAAGGAAATCTTTCATGTAATTCGGGTCTGAAGATCAGATTTTCAAACTGACTCAAGTGCTGATAAGACTGTTTTACACCACGACAGAATTTCAATTATATCTAACTTCGACCACTACACCCACTATGCTAACAAACTCATGAACATTTCCTTCTTAAATAAAGCAGGCCTGATCCATAGCACCTCCTCGAGTTTCTGCTGCAGAGAAAAACAGACCATTGCTTTATAAAGAGGAAAAAAGAAAGAAAAAGTTTATTGAGTCCCCTCTCTATCTTTATCACAATTTTGTAGATAATTTAAACTAAGCAACTTAATGAATGATGAGCACAGTATGCTTTTTTAAAAAATATTGGTTAGAGGGGGGGGAACCTATTAATTTCTGTGGGAAAACATAACTTTAAATCATCTCCATTACTAATGAACACCACGTGTAGTTTCATGTACTTATTAACCACAAACAGAAAGATCTAGCTGTATGTTTTCTTGGTAATTTTTCTGCCCTAAAGTTGAAAATGAGATTTTAGTCTTCTCTTTTTGCCTTCAAACTAGAAAAAAGATTGAGTACTTTGCCCATTACGTCTTGGGAAATAACGACTGAATGGGAAAGGCATAAAGTAAAATGAACTCTGAAGAAGCAAACAGAAAACAAGAACAAGAACTATTTAAAATGTTTAATGAATTTAGGTCTAAGGCAGGTCAGATCCCTCATTGCACGTACATTTGCCTGAGGTGAGCGAGCATGTTGGCTCAGCAAAATATTTCTGTAAAAAAACTCTTTCTAATCCATTTGTTTTATTTTATTTTATTTTTAACTTTATAATCCATTCATTTTAAGTGTCTACTCAGAATCTATCCAATTAGCTGTAAAGAATAACAACTCCTTATATTCTGTAACATAAACATTTTTGTAAAGTGAACTACTTAATATACTCTACCTAAAACTTCTACTTGAACTACAAATTAAATGGCCAACACCCTGGCAACTCCTTGTTAATGACAGATAGAATTTAAAGTTTAACTTTTACGGCTTATATTTTATTAGTACGTATTTTTATTCTCACATTCCCTTCCCATTTACTATTAGGATTTCTGCAAAGAAATTCAGATTAATTAATTCTAAAGCAGGTTTGTCTAGTTCTGAATCCCTAAATCTGCCCTTACGAGCTGTGTAGTGTTGGGCAAGTTACTTAAAATTCTCCCTTCAGCCAGTGTCCATCACCTCTCATGAACTTCAATGCAAAAAAAGCACTTAAGGTTTATATTTTAAAAAACTTTTTTATAAAAGAAGGAAGTGTTAATTGAAACTTTTGAAATTAGTGACTGCACATGGTGAAAAATAAGAGCTGAAACCTTGAACATGCCACATTAAACCACACTCTTTTAAAAAAAAGTTCACGTAAATTAAGTTACCATCAAAGTGTGCTCTAAGTTCACAAGTAAGGAACTATTATCAATTTGTCCTGATTATTGATTGATACCACCTCAAACAGAAACTTCTTTATGGATGGCAGAGCACAAGACACTAATAGTTCTGTACAAACTTAACTCTGGCTCCAAAAAGGTATGATTACCAGCCATACACAAGTTCATGGAAGTACACCCCATGGATGTTTCTCCCAGCTTCTGAGATAAGAAAGAAAGCAAATCAAACCACCTCCTTTTCTCTCACCAAATGACATTTTGATAACAGCAACAGACCATCCCATTTTTATCACAGATAAGAGGACAAACCTCTCCTTTTCTTGGGACTCCAGTTCTTTACTCATTTAACTACCAGAGTGCCTCCCAATGATTCAAGAATGCAGAAGATCAAAAAGTTACTTACAAAGACTGCAGAGCACTCAGTCCACGAATGGCTTCACTGGGTACTGTTTTCAACTGATTATTCTGGAGAGTTCTGGAAGGAAATTTTTGGTTAGTGATCAATAAGCAATTTATTTTTTTCTTAGAAGTGTTTTGAGATAATTTTTCCACAAAATATTTGCAAAGGCCAAAAAAAAAAGGTGTGGAGGTTGGAAAGCACCCAAGACAATAAAATTGCAAAAAAGCAAGCATTCAATATAAAGAAGCATTTGCTACAAAGCCATGACTTACAAGTCATCTCCTAACACACACCTGATGGGTAACCCAAAAAAGGGCTGTTTCTTTCCTGGGAATTAAGGCACCCTACTTAATGTTCATCAGCCTGGATAGTGTTAATGTTAACTGAGAGGTATAACAAATTAATTGGGAGGTATGAAAAGCAAACCCATTAAAATTTCTAATGCCTTTTAAAATTAAAATAAAGCAGAGCCCAGAAACATGGACATTAGATAAAGCCAATTTTGCCAGGATTGTAGATTCTTTTGCTCTCAGGAAGTAGCAGCAATGACTTTAATGCATACAGAACAAGTGTAGAAAATGAGTATTAATCATCTAAGAGTTAGGGCCTGGAAAAGAGACATAGATCCCTACTGAAAATGAAATCCTTTTAACTTTTGCCTACAGCCACTCCTGTCACATTAACGAAATGACTGCCTGGCATAACCATAGAATGGAAGAGGTGAAGATCCACCTACCTCACTGAATTAGAGGCCCAGTGACCTTGCCCAGCTAGGTTGTGACAAAAGTGAAAGAAATGGCACAGTCAGTCCACCTGTTTCTCAATCTGCCACACTCCTAGCTCCTGGCCAATGCCAAGAATTTATTTCCTGGTCTCTCTCTGGCTATATAAATCATGGGCATCTCAATTCCTTCAGCTCTGAAACACTTTTAATATTTGAAACTCTTATAATTTCCTTTAGGGTCAGCTAAGTCAAAGTTCTAGTAGCTACTAAGTAGGTAGAAATGAAATCTTGCCAGTAAAGATTAAATATCATTTAGATTTAATGCATGTGCTTCATAAAAAGCCTAATATTTAACTGAAATATACTGGAGGTCAGAATACATATTATTTAGAGTTTTAACTTTTGTTATCTAGACCCAAGATTCCCTAAATCAACCTCTAGCCTCCCACACTGCCCATTGGCCACTTCTTAAGTCTTCTAATCCTGAACTAAAAGAAACTTAACCTAGCTCCAAGCATGTTGACTATGCACAGAGAAAACAAACAGCCAGCTGTGAAACTCTAAAATTGCATTACTTACAGAAGTTTGAGTTCTTTCAACCCAGACAAGGCCTTTGGATGGATAAAAGAAAGGTCGTTGCCAGCCAATTGTCTAGGGAAAAAAAAGTTGCAAGAGAAAAAAATAGTAATTCAGACTTAAAATTCAGAACTCACAATAACCTAATCTGTGATGAAAGCTCCATGTGAAACATTTTCCAAGTCTATCTGACATTAAACATGGACTTAAACCTTTGCTAAAATGATCCCAAGATTCTTCCAATGGATAAGTGTCTCCAGCAATTTTTTTTCAAACTTCCCATACAATAATTTAAACAGACACATTTTTATTCTGGTGAGGTCAAGCAAACTAAAACACATTAAGCCAAATTAAGTTTTCTATTCATGGTCACTGTGCAGCTTGCAGTGTTTTCCAAGGGCCCCATAAATGCAGACTACTAGTCAGCAGGCAGGAGTGTTTATACAGATCAGAGCAAACCAGTCTGTCAAGGAAGAATGCCTTCGGGTCAGCCTGTTATCTCGGCATAACCAAGGGTAGCATATTCTGGGTGAAAAGTTAAGTCACTGGAAGCCTAACTTCTCAAATAAAGGCCACATAAACATTTTTAAAGAAAGTGGTTTCCGAAAGAGAATTTGAAATGGCAAATTTAAATGGGGATAAGAAAGAAGTATGGAAAGGATATGAATTCTTTGGGTCCTTTTAAAAATATCTTAGCACACAATTCACTTTCCTTCCCATTTTCCCAGGCATACAGAAATGGTAAGAAGAGCAGAGCAGAAGATCTGAGGAAGGAAAAGCAGAAATGGGACAGAAACTCATATAAGTCCCTTGGAAACGGGTGAACTGCCAAACAGTTTTCAAGTCTTTACTTTAAAATGATAGCTGTGTGTCCTTCTGATCAAATACAGGACTCTCAGTCTTTTCATTCTGTCAAGACAGTCTCTCAGGCACCTGGATATTAAAACTTTTTTTGTTTGCTTCTTTGTTTGTTTTGGTAGTTCTGTGGGTTGAACTCAGAGCCTGGAGCTTGCTAGGTAGGTGCTCTACCACTTGTGCCATTCCCCCAGCTATTTATTTATTTATTTATTTATTTATTTAATGCTCTTGTGTTTCATGTCTTGGGACCACAAAGTTATGAAGTCTTCCTTTAAAATCTAAAACTTTAGGTGAGGTGTGGTAGGGCATGCCTGCAATCCCAGCTATGCAGGAGACAAAGACAGTCAGAGGCTTTCCTAACTTAGGAAAAAAGCATGAGACCCTCTCAAAACAAAAACTAAAAAAGCAAAAAAAGGGGCTGGATGCTTGGCTCAAGTGGTAGAATGCCTACCTAGCAAGAGCAAGGCCTTGAGTCCAAATAAATAAATAAATTGTATAATTTTAATTTACAAAACTAAAAATTTATAATGCCTCCTTAACAGGTCTATTTCCATGCTCCTTTCTACTCTGTCTGTAAGTAGCTTACACTCCTGAGCCTTATTCATCAGTTTATTCATTCACTAACAAATTATGTGCTTCAAATAAATTCCAACCACTTAACATCCTTTTCCCTCTCCTCCAGTCTGTTGTACTCACCACCCTGATTTTAGGGGACACAAGAAAAGTTCCTTTCCACCTGTAAAACTTGAAGTTACTGAGGTCTAAAACTCTATTTAATTTAGGCACATTATTTCCTTCTTAAGTTTTGTCCCAGCTAATATGCAAAATAAGCTCAGAAAGGATTAAAAATCCAGTCCTTATCCAGTATTAACATAATGGAGATGGAGTATTAACATATATACTGAAGACGAGTGAAATGACTAGAAAACCAAAAAGGTGAGTGAATGATTTCTTGACAGCAAGGGTACAACGCTGGATTCTTAGGCAACACCACAGGTTAATGCACCTCAGCTCCCCAGGCACTTTTTTCCTTACAAGCAACTTTAGCGCCTGTGCTCCGTATTGCCTGCCTTGGAAGGCTTTTCATATTTTAGATTTCACAACATGTAGCATCAGCCTTGTTAATGTCAATTAACATGGAGAGTAGCCTGAAGAATCTCTGAACAGACAAAGCCAGTTAAGCCTCATATGTAACCAAAACCTTGCTTGATTTTCAAACATTAACAAAACTTGAGTTATTTCTTGTAAATATTAAAGAAAACCAAAACTTAAGCTCAACCACTCAGAAGCAGCCAACAAACTTAGTAACTATCTACTTGTTACTGATCAAATATTTTCTTTGCTTCACTTTTTTGTTGGTACAATAAAAGTTTCTCCCTTGCCTTCTCTCCGTGGAGCTACCAAACCTCTTCTGGTTGGGAGCTACCCAACTCATGAATTGTTTTTTGCTCTAATATACCCTTAAAACTTTTACTGTTAAGCTTGATGTGGGGTACCCACCTGTAATCCCAGCACATTACAGGTGCTGAAGAGAGGCTGAAGCAGGAGATCATGAATTCAAGGCAAGCCTGGGCTACACAGCAAGACCCTGCCTCAAAAAAAAAAAAAAAACCCTAAACAAATAATAAATTAATTAATTGAAAAATAAATTTTCTGTGCCTCAGTTTACTTTTTTAAAAAGCTTCATAGCCTTTTACCTTCCAGAGTTCACCACACATAAAACAAAGGACTGAAGAAAACCATTAGGAAGCCTCTTCAGTGCTTCAATTTTAAAGCATTTCTCCTTGGCAAAATTTTTCTGCTTCTAAACTAGTCACCTTCTCCTCTACATCCCTTAAAAGCTTCATCTTGCAACCTCATTTTCACCACTTAAACACCCAACTGAGATGCTACTTTCATTGAAAACTTCACTTCTTAAAAACATGCCCTATGCATACATACTTGGAGCACAAAATGAAACCTGGTCACTAGTTGTTTCTGGCACTTCAATCCTACAGGTCAAGTACAAATGCTTCCAAAAACAGGGCATGCACCTCATACTTTTGTTACCACCCATCAATATTCCAAGTCATGAGCTAGAAATTGCCCTCTCCTTGAAAATGCTCCACCATGTCAGTATCACAGCATCCTGTGGTCTCTTAGTGCAAACTCAGAACAAATACTCTTCAAGGACTTCTACAGCCCAAGCTCACTCACTGACTTGAACTGATGGTGCTCACAAATGCAATGCAAGATGTTTAAAAGGTCACATTTGAAAAGATCAAATTGCTCCTTAAGGGCCTTAAGAGGCAGTAGCCATCTTTCCTCAAATAGCCTGTGACTGTTCTTCCTAGCTGTCTGAAAGACCAGTGTTAAAAAGCTAGGGTCTGCCAAAAAGAAATACTATAAACAGAGTAAGGCTTTCCAGGATTCTTATCTCTTTGTCTCTAATATTAGTTTTTAATATCCTTGTATCTATAGGCTTTCTTTGAGGAGTTCAGAGTATTGTGCTGAGCTCATGAAAAAAGAGTATTTTATAAAGTAACAAGTGAGGTGGCAAAACACAGAACACCTGATTATCTTAACTTGTCAACAAAAAAGAATGTTTAACCACATTAGCCAAAATATTTGCTTCCTCTTCCCAAATCTCTGGTCTTTTATAAATCATGAGAAAACTAAAGTAACCTGACTTCAAAAAGCATTCTCTTTCTTTTCTATTTATTGTTAATATAAATGACAAAATGAGCTCCCTGCATGAGGCTTATCCTGAAACACAAGCCAACTATCTTGAGAAATAAACACTCCCCAGTATGTGGTGGATGGTGATAATGCTGCCCAAGAGGACACATTGCTTTGATTACTTTGTTTCTTACTAGAGTCAACATATCATGTGGAACCTTCAGGAATGTATCCACCTCAGTTTATCAAACTGTTGTGTCCACCAACAGCAGCTTGAAGAAGGTGCTGCAAGCTTATAATTACATCCTCCAGAGCCTTTTCACAGTTGGCTTGTCTTATGGGGCCAGTTATTCTTATAGCAGATCCTGGGGATGCTTCATGTCTAAAAGCTTAGATCCACAAAAGAGCAAAGGAATAGTAGGCAAGGGAAAAAGTCCAAAAATCCTTGGAAGAAAAAAAAAACCTCTGAGCCCACAGTAGGTGCAGGTACTGTGATAGTAACAGATGGTATACATACATCTTTTCATTTTTAATCGTCTCATGGCAACAGCCCCACTTCTTGAGTACCTGAGAAGTCAGGTGACTTAGCATAAGTCACACAGCTGGAAAATGGAGCCAGCATGCCGGTTCTTGGTTCTTACCTGGCTGGCTGCAATATTTGTCAACTTCCTCCTGACCTGAGATGCCTCTGAGTTGTCACCAAAAGATTAGGAAATAATTCCCAGAGAGAAGAGGTGGAACACAGTAGACTTGGGCAAATTAATAGCCTTTTTTGAGCTCTCACCCAGCAGCCCAAAGCTAACAAAACCTGCCTATGCAGTAGGAACTGCAATTATGGGAAAATTTCTAACAGACCAATAATGCATCCTTTTCTCAGTCACATGACCAGGGAAGGGAGTGAGAAAGGGATTCAGCTGTGAGTACCCAAAAGTAGGGGCTTATACTGTTGCAGGTTTTGTTTTGTTTTCTATTTTTACTTTTTTTTAGCAACCCTTAAGAAAAAAAAGAGAAGGCTGATGCTGAGGAAGAATTATAACCAATGGCCCTTTTTTAGCAAAGATTAGCTATTTTCTATTCCATGCCTCAGTCTGTATTTCTGTGTCACAGCTGACAGCTATTTTAGTCTCTCACTACTTGAGGACCTACTGGCTACCTCAGTAATTAGTTAAATGATATTTATAATTTTTCTTTTGTCCTACTCTCTCTTTATATATGTATATAAAACTATTCTTCCGGTTGGAAGAGTAGCTCAAGTGGTAAAGCTCCTGCCTAGTGAGTGTGAGGCCCCGAGTTCAAAGCCTATACCACCTAAAACTATTCTTCCAATGGCTGTCAATTCCTAAAGAAAAAATAATCATTAAGGTGAGAATAGAAGGGTTAAACTGGTAAAATTTCTGCATGGTCAGGTAGATAGCCTCAGGCATCACTTCTTTTCCCCTTTGCCCTGATACTTCTGTCCCCAAAGACCACAGGGAGCATCACTCTGCAAGGTCTCAATCCATCCAACTCTTAATCTTTCTGCTGTTACCTGAGTTGAGGCCCTAATTTTTTCTCACCTG